TGCAAGGAGCTTCCATGCCCTCTTAAGCATGCCACTCTCCCAGCATCCCCGATGTGTTCACCACCCAGAAGCACATCAAGTCTCCTAGTTTAGGAGTTTTTATAGAGTTTAATCTTCAGCCTCCCTCCCCTTCCCAGAGATCAGTGGGTGGGCCTAAAAGTTCCAATCCTCTAATCACTTGTTCTTTCTGATGACCAACCCCATTCTAAGGCTATCTAGGGTCCCCACTCTAAGTCACTTCATTAGCACAAACTCTGGTGTGATCCCAGGGGACTTGTTATGAATAACAAAAGATATTCCTATACTCAGGAAATTCCAAGGGTTTTAGGAGCTTTATCCAGAAACCAAAGACAAAGACCGAATGTATTTCTTATTATGTCACACTTTTTATCTTCCTTCTATCTAGTAATAATTTTTGCCTTCAAGTCTATCTTTTCTGATATCAATATACCTGCTTTTAGTTACTATACCAGTTTTTAGTATTTGCCTAGCATATCTGCTTTTTTCTTTTAGTTTTTAAGTTATTATATAATTTATTGAAGTAGATTCAAAGTCTTATTTTACTTACTTTCAAGTTCAAATTTCAGATATTTTTAAGTTATTTACTATGTAAATTTTTTAACATACTAAAAGTACTAGAAAGACTACTACAATGACCACACATATACCCACCGCCTAGATTTAAAACATTGTTTTGTCATATTGTTACCAGAGGTTGTGCCCTCCTCGGCACGATGTCCAGGTTCTTGATGTCTCGAGCAAAGAATTGAATGAAACACAGAGATAAAGTGGTGAAAGAGAAGTTTATTAGAAGAGAGAGTACAGTCCAAAGAATTAGGAGCAGGCCCTAGTACAAAGAAAAACGGTCAAGGGCCCCGACTAACGAGGCCTTGGTAGTTTTTATTTTCTTTTTTTCTAGGATGGGCTGTTCCTCTCCAGGCGTGGGACCACTTGATTGATACCTGTGATTGACAAGGGGCTATGACCTCATCTTTTTAGACTGAACATGTTGCTTCCCAGAATTCAGTCTGTTACAATGATATTAATGAACTTCCAGGCATATGTATGATATTATAATGATGGTATAATGAGGCCCAGGTGAAATGAAGGTCATTGTTGCCTTTACTGTGCAGGAGTGAGTGACTGGTCTAATCTACTAGGGTATTTGTACCCATTTGTTTCCTCGTAGGAGTAGATAATTACAATGAAAAGGGAAAGTTTTGGGCGGAGAGGGGAGGTCTTTTGGGCAGTCGCATTCTGTGGGTTGTGTTGGACGTGCAAGAATGCAGAAACCCAATGCCTATCTCTAACTGCCTGCCTTGTTTTCCCCTGGAGAGACGTGATCCCCATAGAATCTCTATGGGAAGTTGAGGGACAGAAGGTCTTTTCTTCTGTATCTGCTTCCTGCTGGGCAGGGATGTAAAGTTGTCCCTACCTATTGGGGGATTCACGGAACTCTCGCCCTATCTGATCTTAGATAAGAGGAAGGGGTCTCGAGATCTGTTTGGAAGACCACGTTGGCTTCTTTGGTTGAAACTGGTAAACTTGCTGGGGTATCATCTGTAGCCCCAAGGCCCCTGAATGAGAAAAAAAAATATTTTAATTAATAAATTTTAAAGTGTTGGCTTAAAGAGCAGAGCTCAAAGCTATTGATGCAGGGTGGCTACGTGATGGAAAATCCGTCAGCGCTTATGGAGCCTGTGGCCATTCAACCGGTCACTCAGATGGCATCAGTTGTCCAGGAGCTGGGCCCACAACAGGTTGGAAAGAACATTAGGCTTCAATGATTACAATCAACAAGTATAATCACAAATTTCAGGATAATTATCTAAAGCAGGGGGTAAAAACACTTCTTATGATTCAGGCTAAAAACAATCTGTTGCCTAAGATTAAGAAACTGATTGACAAAATAATTAACAAGCAGGGGGGATAGGAGCTGGGGAAAAGAAACTGGGGAAAAGGAAACTTAAGGAAAAGGAAACTTAAAATCCCTATAGGAAGGAAAACTACTAGTTTTTCAGTTGTCGGGGAGGGGCTACTCAGTTGGCCTGTATCAATTATTTGCTTTATCTGCATCTATTTTTTTAATTTGGTCATGTGTTTACATGAGCCTAATACCATTATCACACTTAATAAAATCAATAATTCCCTAATGTTATGTAATACCCAGTCCATAGTCACATTTCCCCAATTATCCCAAATTGCTTTTATATACAGTTGTTTTTTACATTTGGTTGCTTTGGTTGTTGGAGAACGTGTCTTTCAATCAAAGACAGTTTTCACACACCCTCAATTTTTCTCTTGATAATATTAACTTTTTTAAGACATTGGACCAGTTGTCATATAAAATGTTCATCTTTTTCATTTCAATCTTTGTGTCCTTATATTTTCAGTATATCTGCTGTAAACTGTATTCCCTGGATTAGTTTTCCAATCCAGTGTAATGTATGTCTTTTACTTGGCAAGTTTAGCCCATTTATATGTATGGTGACTACCAATATATTTGGAATTAGTTCTTTCATCTTATTTGGTTATTTCTACACATCCCACTTTTTTTTTTTTAATTGGGGAACAGTGTGTTTTTCCAGGAACTATCAGCTCCAAGTCAAGTGGTTGTTTCAATCTAGTTGTGGAGGGCGCAGTTCAGTGGCCCATGTGGGGATCGAACCGGCAACCTAGGTGTTATGAGCCTGCGCTCTAACCAACTGAGCTAACTGGCTGCCCCCTTCTCCCCTCCCCCCCCACTTCTTATATGTAATTTTTCTTTCTTTATTTTTTAATTGAAATGGCATTTTTGTTTTCTTTTCTTGTATTTTGAGAATGGAGAAAATAAAATGGAATAAGCATTGCTAAGAGAGTCACTGAAAGTGGAGTCGAGAGGCCACTGAGGAAATGGGGCCTATGTCTCAGCTCTTGGAACTACTGTTAAGTTGCTGACTTGTTGCTAAACTCAGCTCAAGGCCAAACAACAAACATTATGGATCAATGGTTGCTACATAGGCAGATATGGGTTTTACTGCCTCTTCATCATGGTGACTAGACCATCTGCATTCTTCACCTTGAAAGGAACCAATCCATTTTGACAAGCAGTATGCTCCATTTACCTAATGGGCCTAACTAATCCCAACTGACCTAGCCAACATCCTCATTTTCTTAGAGGATCTTAATGAGGCAGCCCTATCACCTTATGCCATGTGAGAGAAGGGGCTTCAGGGGACACACTCTTTGATTGTGGCCTGTGGCCCTTGGGTTTGGGGAGCTTGAGGACTGGCATGAGATATTATATCAATAGAGCTCAGATGAAAAGAAAGGAAACTGCACTGGGAGAAAACTATTCTTATATCAACGCTGGGGTGTGGATGGGCATGTGTTTACTCTGGACTAGGTGTGGGCCCAGCAGGAGGGAGCTGGCATGAAGCAATTTGTAAGTCCTGAGTAAAGAAAAGGGTAGTAAGGTCCTCTGACTGAATCAGCAACCAAGGAAGAATAAAGAGCTTACTAAAATTCCTTACTAAGGCAACGGTGGGGGTAGTCACGCATACACCATATAACAAGGCAACACTAAAGGGCAATGATGACAAGAAGCTTGTTCTTTCTATATCCTGATCAAAGAGTCACCTCAAGAGTTTCAAAGTAATTTGACTGTTTCTACACCCTGCTCCCAGCTTCCCTATGCCAGAAGCTTCAGCAACAACTCGGCCTTATCTTTTCTATGCATCCCTTCCATCTGATGTAAAACTGTTAACCACTGAGGCATGTGTGCCCTAATTGTAAATTCTAATGTGTCAAATGTACTTTTGCTTAGCTTACTTTTCTGCCTATGTAAGTGCCTCTCACATCCCCCAAGTTAGAGCACTGTTTCAAGGCTAGCCCACAGTAAGGCCTAAACAGAACTCTACTTAAATTTACAGAGATTCCGTTTCCTCTTCCTTGACCATTCTGACCAGGATTTCAACAGATGGTACCCTGACAACTGGCTGATGAAGAAAACATCCGTGGTCCCAGTAGAGTATTTCTGAGGAACCCATCAGAGCCCCTTTAAGGGAAATGGTCACTTTAAACAGCTGGCAAGCCCAGTGAGCAGTAGCAGCAGGCCTCAAGGGGCTAGCCACACGAGGTCATTCCTTCCCTCTGTGAAGTGCTCCGCAGAAGGGAGGTCTGGCCTGGGGCCTGCTACACCCCCAGCTGGTAGGGTCTGAGGCAACCTTGTATCATGTGACCTGACCCCATCAAGCAGAGCTGACAGGCCTAGTGGGGTCACCTGACTCAACGGCAGACAATTGGTAGACTGAGTTAGGATGTGGTGAGCTGAGCCAATCAGATTCTCTCTCGGGAACTGGAACTTGGAGCACCTGGCAGGTAGTGGAGAGAGATGAAGTTGAGCTGATGTGGGGAGAGAGGCTGCAGTAGGAAGTGTGGATCAGAGACCTGAGGGGTCGTGGCCAGCCCAAGCGGTGCGGAAGCAGGAGCGCCGAGGGAGGGAGGTAGAAGCAACAAGGCAGAGGGAAGATGTGGAAAGCAGAGGGAGATAAGGGCGGTTTTAACAAGATTGGCAAGAGCACGCACTGAGTTTCCTTATGGCAGAGGTTTGGTTTGATTTGGTTTGGTTTGGTTTGGTTTGGTTTGGTTTGGTTTGGTTTGGTTTAACTCCCCTGAACATGTGCAGACTCCAGCTGCTGAGTCTAGAAGTTATCCCAGGTCTATTTCCAGGCAAAAGTCCTGGCTGTCCTGTGGTTCCTGTTCTTGTATATCAATCAGGTGTGTCTCCCTTGCTGTCTACATGTATCACAACCAGAAACGCCCATTACTTGAGATAACCATAGTTGGACTCTTTCCTATACGGTGAAGAATGCATCCCACAAAGAGAAAGTGAGAGGAAATCACCAAAGGGCAAGGGCACAAGCTGGCATTGCCAGAAACAGAGCCTTGCCGTTCCCTCAATGGATTTCGCACCAGGCAGTTCTTGCTGCATTCCCCCAAGTAAAATCCTCCCTTATTGGGCTTTATTTAATTTTGTGAAAATAAGCCTTATTATAAAAAACACAATGAAATTCATAAACCAAGTCTCAAAACCTCTAGCAAAACAAGACCCCCTTAATGTATAAGATAATTGCTATCAGCAGAGTCCCTTCAACTTATTGCTTTTGTCGCTTGTTTCTTGAGAAGATGATTCCAATGAGGCCCATGGCTGCCAAGCCCACTCCAGCAATGCCAACCGCCATCACAGCATCTCTGACCTGCAAGAGAGAAGAGGGTAGATCAGACTCTATGTCAGGAATCTGAGTACAGGCTGTATACGAGTCTTCAACAAGAACATTCAGCTCTGAGAGCCTCACATGCCCTTTGGTCTCCCTGACAAACTCAGGAGTCAACAAATACTGGCAAAGAAATGGGGAGAAGAGGGCTGGATGGGGAAAGAATTGGTGGATGGAGCCAGCTGGCCAGGAATGTACCTGGGTTTGCAGAGGGAAACTCAGCTCACCCTGTGGATATTTATAGCACATAAATTCCCAGAGGGTGGCTGTGGAAAGAACAGGGAGATGAAGCCAGGATGGTTGAGATCCTGACTAGTCAACAGGAAGCCCTTGAAGCAAGTGTGAAGTCAAGGAGAAATTGCTATTGAAGACTCAATAAACTGTGGCCTCCATGAGAGCAAGGACCTCAATTGTCTTGTTCATCACTGTAACCCTAGAACCTGGCTAGGCACAGAGGTGCCCTTTACACATCCTTAAATGACTAAACTACTAGTAGTAGTAATGTTAGACTGTAAATTAGGAAGATATATAGCTTGTATTAGGAAAAAAAAAGTGTTGCAAAATAAGAGTAAGTTTCAAGGTAAAAACTGAACATGTGTCGAATTTCACTCCTTCCTGAAACTCAACTAGAAGTAAAGTAAGCCATTTGTTTTAGGCATAAGTCCCCAAGGACACAGAGAACACCAAATTCTAAGGCAGCTGTGGGGAAATCTGAGGATCAATCATAATTATATAACAGAACCCTTGAAAAGATCAACACCAAAATAGTCACAGGGATGTAAAGGACAGTATGGGGAATATAGTCAATAATATTGTAAAAACTATGTATAGTGTTAGACGGGTGCTAGACTTATTGGGGGAATCACTTCATAAAATATATAAATGCCTAACAACTATGCTGTACACCTGAAATTAATATAAAATAATACTGAAGTCAACTGTAATTTTAAAAAATAGTCATGGGGATATAAAGCACAGCACAGGGAATATAGTCAATAATACAATAATATTGTAATAACCCTGTGTAGTGCCAGATGGGTAATAGACTTAGTGGTGTTATCACTTTGTGAGATATATAAATGTCTAATCACTATATTGTTTTGTACACCTGAAACTCATTTTTAAATATTTATAATTTAACAACATCAAAAAAAAGAAGAGCTAATCTACTATGAATCCTATATGTGTATACACCAAATGGCACAGATGAGAAATTTATGAAGCAAAATTTGATAGAACTGAAAAGAAAAGTAGATACATATTTATAGTTGAAATGTCCACACTCCTTTCTCAACAATTGATGGAAGACCCAGGCAGGAAATCAGCAAAGACGAAGACTTCAACACCATCAACCAAGGGATCTAATCAACATTTACAGAATACTCCATCCATTGACAGCAGAATGCACATTCTTTTCAAGCACTCACAGAACATAACACCAAGATAAACCACAACTTGGGCCAGAAAGCAAACTTCAGCTAGTTTAAAAGAATTGAAAGCATACAGGGTTTGTTCTCTGACCACAATAAGATCAAACTGGAATTTAATAAGAGAAAGACAACAGGAACATTTGTAAACAATTGGAAACTACAGAGCACACTTCCAAATAATCTATAGATCAGAGAAGAAGTCTCAAGGGAAGTAAAAAAATGCATTGAACTGAATAAAAACACAACACATGATAATTTTTGAGACCTAGCTAAAGCAATGTCAAAGGGGAAATTTATGGCACCAAATGCTTACATTAGAAAAGAAGAAAAGTATTATGAGCAGTGCTGCAGTGGTCATGGAGGTGCAGGATGGAAACAATAAAGAGAAGAAACCAATGAAATTGAAAGAACAAAAATATTATAGAAAAATCCATAAAACAAGAAGCTGGTTCTTTGGAAAAGTATATAAAATTAATGAACCTCTAGCCAGACTGAAAAAAGAGAAAGGACACAAATGACTAATATCAGGAATGAAACAGGATATCACTGTAGACTGTACCATTAAAAGGATAATAAGAATACTACAAAGAACTCTACACACATAAATTTGAAAACTTAGATAAAATGGACTAATTCCTTGAAAAGCACAAACTACCAAAACTCACTCAATATGAAATATAATTTGAATAGTCTAAAAAAAAGAAGAAAGAAAAGATCAGTACCAGGTACCTCTGAAAGTGGGAGAAAAAGAGAGCGAGAGCTTTAGCTAGATCCGTAGGCACCCTTCCTAACCACAACTGAAGCCTAAAAATTTATTCTCTGAAGAGGGTCAAACAGAAGATTTGGGAGCCTGGAAACCTAGAAGCACATGTGAGGATGTGGGTATCATGCCAAAAACCAGGGATTGAGAAACTATAAACATGCCAAGTGTGAGGCTCTTGCCCTCCTGCCTCTCTCTGCTTCCAGAACTTTACCCTCCATACAAGAGTCAGGAAAACTTTTGGGGGGCATCTGACGAGCCCAAGTGGAAACAAAAGATATCAAAACAGAAGATTCCCAAACAGCTCACTCAGATCACCCAGAAGTGACACTCAAAGGCCACAAGCCATTGCCCCTTCCTAGCTTACTCAGAGCTTCCATTCAGTAGCAAGCCCCCCGACCCTTAGTCATATGCATTCAACCAAGGTACCAGTCATGTGAGGCAGACTTCTAAAATAGAAGACAGAGAGCAAAACAAACAGGAAAAAAAGATCAATCTGGAGAAACAGAAACCATATCTAGAACAGATGTCTTTTTTAAAACTATCATTAGAGAATAAGAGAACATATTGTACCCTCTAAATAAAACCACAGTGATATTAAAAAAAATAGACTATTGAGAAAATATAAACAGTCCTTAGGAAATAAAAGTACAATAGAAATGACAAACTCAATAAAAAGCTTAAAGATTAAGTTGAGGACATCTCTCAGAATAAATACCAAAAAGATAAAAATATAGAAAACAGAGGGCCAGCCGAGTGGCTCAGTTGGTTCAGAGCTCACTCAAGAGTGTAAGCTCTGAGCAACAGCAGTTTGAGTCCCAGTCCGAGCTGAGCAGCCACTGAGCTGCCAACAGGTGGCAGGATGGCTCAGTTAAAAAAAATAAGATAAAATAAAATATAGAAAACAGAAGCCAAAGGTAAAAATCCAGGTAGTCCAGTGTCTGAATAATAGCCATTCTAGAAAGAGATAATAGAGGAAACACAGAGGAGGGGAATCAAATGAAATAAGTCATGAAAATTACTAGGACCAAAGGATGTACCTATGTTCTTCAGATTGAAATGGTGCTCGAAGGCCCATCTCGATGAATAAAAGCAGACCGACACCAAGGCACACTTCTGTGAAATTTTAGAATACTGGGTAAACAAAAGATATTACAACTGCTAGAGCAGGGGAGAAAAACAGGAAACAGAGAAAAGATCAGGAATCAGGATTGGAGGCAAGAAGACAATGGAAAAATGCCTCCAAAATTCTAAAGTAAAACAATTTCTAACCTAGAATTTTATACCCAAACTATCAAATCAACTGGGAGGGTAAAATAAAAAATAATTCAAACATACAAGGTGTCAACAAAATTTACCTTTGATGCATCCTTTTTCAGGAAGCTGCTGAAGAAGACTCCACCAAGACAATGGAGTAAATTTTTTTTTAAAAGGCATGAGACACAGAAGATGGGTGCTCCATTACAGAGAGACTAGAAGGGAATGTCACTAGAATGATAGTCAGGGGAGATCCTAGGACAACTTTTACCAGATGTAGAGTGTAACTGGTAAGCAGACTAATATCCCCCTGAGGAAGTCTGTGTCTTAATTCCAAGAACCTGTAAGTATATTATGCTATATGAGAAGGAGGAATTAAAATTGCAGATGGGATTAAGGTTACGAATCAATGTACCTTAAAAAGGGAGATTCGCCTGGATTATGCATGTGGGCCCAATGTAATCCCAAAGTTCCTTAAAGGACAAAGAGGGAAGCAGAAGAGTTAGTGTCACAGGGATGCAATGTGAAAAAGAACCAGCCATATTTGGCTTTGAAGGTGGAAAGGGGCTACAAGCCAAGGAACGCGTGTAGCCTCTAGAAGCTGGAAAAGGCAAGAAAATAGATTCTCCTTGCAAACCTCCAGGGAAGAACACAGCTCTGCTGGCACCTTAATTTTAGCCAGTGAGACCTATTTCAGACTTCTGACCTCCAGAACTAAAAGGCAATAAGTCTGTATTGTTTCAAACCACTAAATTTGTGGTAATTTGTTACAGCAGCCATAGGAAACTCATACAATAACGGATCCATATTACAGTGGTGTGACTCAAGAACCCGCCATGTTGAATTGACTGTTGTCACCATTATCCCATGTGCTGTCTTTTTAACTTAAAGCAATTTATGGGGGATATGGTCTACCTAAATAAGAGAAAAGGCAAAGAAATAAGAAACAAAGAAGGGCCGGCCGAGTGGCTCAGTTGGTTAAGAGTTAGCTTAAGAGCACGAGCTCTGAGCAACAAGGCCGCCGGTTCCCACATGGGTCAGAGACGCCGACCCCAAGCTGAGCTGTCGCTGAGCTGCCAACAGGTGGCCGGATGTCTCAGCTGGTGTAACAACAAGATTGCCTGTTCGATGGTGGGCTATGCCCACCTGCAACTAAGACTGAACTCAGCACCTTGAGCTGAGCTGCTGCCCAGATGACTCAGGGGATAGAGCGTGCACTCTTAACAATAAGGCTGCTGGTTCGACTCCCACATGGGATGGTGGCTACACCCACCCACAACTAAGATTGAACACAGCACCTTGAGCTTAGAGGCCACGAGCTACCAACGGGCAGCCAGATGGTGACTGGCGCCCTCCACAATGAAGACTGAAGAACAACAACTTGGCTGGTCCCCTTCCCCAATTCCCCAACACTGTTCCCTTCCCCCAATTCCGCAATAAAAAATCTTTAAAAAAAAACACAAAGAAACAAAGAAATCACGAAACCAGACAATTCAATCCAAGAAAATGGCAAAGGAAATCCCAAGGCTGACAGC